ATGATTATTATTATGATGATTATTATGATTAGTAGTAGTAGAAGAAGTAGTAGTAGTAGTAGTAGTAGTAGTAGTACTAGTAGTACTGTAGTAGTACTGTAGTAGTACTGTAGTAGTACTGTAGTAGTACTGTAGTAGTAGCAGCTAGTGGTAGCTAGTGGTAACTAGTGGTAGCTAGTGGTACCAGTACTAGTACGGCGACTGCCACTACGACTGTAACTGCGAGACCACCACGTCGACGACCACTAGTGTTGCTGTTTTCACACTTGCAACTAAATTCACTAAGACCGCCAGGAGACCAGGCTAAAGCACTTGGCCTCGCTGATGCATTTTAGCTCTGTGGATCTACCAGATGGTTCGCACCAGAGCGCCCCGACCCGCAAGGAATTGCAGTTCGAGACTTCAGGCTGTCGGCGCGTGTCTTCCTATGTGACATGCGGCGTCATGGAGTACTTGTCTACTCATCTAGAGGCTTCGTGCGCGCTCTGCAAGATAACAACTTGGACAGCTTCTTGCATGGGACATGTCATGTGGTCTTCTGTCCTGAAAGCAGCTCAGACCGTGTTTTACTTCAGCGGTACTGTAGAGTCTGCTGCATGTTGTGTTTCACGATGAGCCTCTAACACCCCTTGATCAGTGAACGGAATCCTTCAGCCCCAAGCCCGTTGTGAAAATTAGACAGTGTTGTGATATGTGGACTTGACTACACACACGCACACACTCCCTCTCTCTCTCTCTGTCTGTCTTCATTTGTATATATATATATATATACACGTATATATATATATATATAGATAGACAGATAGAAGTGTACCAAAACAGATGGATGGATAGACATGCGTATGTATGTGCGCAAACCCCTCTGGTGAAGTGGCTCTCGGGGTCCACGTCCGCTACGGATCCAGCTCGAAGGAGCGGTCCTTCTCCAACATGGCAAGGTTTAGTGTTGAAAGTTCAGGCTGTAAAGCCTTCGCTTAGGGAGAGTCGTAGTGGCGGTTCCGCCAGCTTTCTTCCGTTAGGAGCATCTTTCGGCTTTGTGTTCTGTAGCCTGCGAGGCTTCAAGTACAGCAGCAGCGTGCCGGGGTCTTGGTCCAGTGGCATCGGGAGCTACAGCGGCCTCTGTTTGCAAGGCATGGCAGTGCGACATATCTCGCGATATTCTGTAGAACTGCCGCACAGAAGCTTGACTCGAGTAAGGGTGCTACTGCTACTGCTACGGCGACGGCTACGCCTGCGTGGCTATTGCAGTAACTACGACTACTTCGACTACTGTGCTACGACACCACCACCACTTCTTCCACCACCAGTACGGCAAGCCTACCGCCGCGTCACCTTTGCCACCGCTACTACTGTTGCTTCTGCTCCTGCATAGATATTGCTTTCATCTTCTTGCACGGTCACCAGTGTCAATATTAAGTAACAGGCCGAGTGTTACAGTTGATGCAACTCTAGACGATTCCTCTTCTTCTTATCGGGCTCTAGACTCTTTTCGTGGCTGTCCTTGTGGCATTTGCAGGCCGGAGCCTGAAGCCTTGGGCCCCGGGCACAAACCGAAACGAGGCTGCGAGGCTGTACCTTGTACCTGGTGCCCTTCAACGCAGAGAACGTTGGCATTTTCGACACGGCCTCCAAGTTGCTTGGCCTGGTTTAGGGTTTCGGGCTTCGGGGGCATGTTTCTGAGGCATGTTGGTGTATCTTGGGGTTGATGCGGTGGTGCAGGTGATCGTGACGACGGGTAGGATCTCTAGCCTCCGTCCCGGGATTGGTGCTAGGTCCACCGGAGGAGCCCTAGGGCTAGGGTGCCCATGTGCTCGCGAGACGTTAGTTCGCGCGACTGCCCAGGAGGTTCCAGGCACGAAGGTCAGGGCAATCGCACAGGCCGGGTATCAGAGGAGATACTCGTAACGTCGTAGTGGCCGACACCACCCAGGGCGACATGAGATCATGGACCAATGAGTGGAAGGTTTGAGTAGTATAGCAAATCGCCGGAGCCTTGTCATGTCATGCTTAGCTCGAAGCTGAGGCATTTTCGGACGGTTCCTTTGCCCTCTGGAATGATGGGTGGGTCCAAGTACTCCTCCGGCGTGTCGTGGCGATGATTGGAAGTTTCGGAAATGCATGGACCCGGATTCTCAACAAAAGCAGGTCTTTTGCACTCCTCAAACTCTACCTGTAAATGGCCGGATGCTGTCCTGGAGCACGGCTTTCGGCACCCGCATCCTCCCTCCGGCTTCCGCAGCCCAGAACGTGCACTATCGGCTGAGTGAGGTGATGGCGGAAGGCGGAACTGCTTACTTTGTGCCGTATGCTGCAGACAACATTGGAGTTTTCGACGTGCACAAGGAGGATTTCAGAAGCTCGTCCGACCTTCGGGAATGACAGTTCGCACATTTGCAAGTGCGGTCGGCTTAGCCTAGGTCAGGATGAGTGCTGCCATGAAGCAAAACCGGGAAACACGACTTGAATACCTTCAGCAACTATAACTATGAATGCAAGAAAAGTGAACAACTGACCCCTAGTTTGCTTTTCCAGGGCCCTGCCGCGACACGCGTGAACCTTCTGTAGAATTTCTCCGTGGCTTATTACAGGAGCCTGCTGGACATGCCATTCCAGGATGTGAAAATGCTTTTCGAAATCCTGCCTCCGGGCTTCACGCCTTTGCACGAAACCTCTTGCCGTAGTTGAAATGAACCTATGAGGTGCAATTAGAAGAGGGTTTTGGGCGTATGTAATGCGCTGTAATGCAATAATAATAGTCATAGGAACCCCAGACAAAGTATGGGTAATGATTGCCAATCTTCTGCACGAGGAACAATCGATATCGGCTCGGAGACCTCTGCGGATTGTAACTGGGCCTTGGTTCGGCTTAGGCCTAGCTTCACTTTCGTGCAAACACACTTTTTTGGTATGTCAGGCCCCAGAGGGCGCATGTTTGAGCCTATGGTCTTGTGGCTATGTTAACGCTGAGCCTCTTCTTTGGGTGCAGCAGGGGGCAGGAGGAGGAGGGGAGGAGGAGGAGTCGTAGTGGTAGCAGTCGTCGTTGTAGTAGTCGTAGAAGTCTAGTGTTGGGAGTAGGAGTCGTAATTGTAGGCGTAGCCGCCGAGGGTAGTAGGGCTAGTGGTAGTGGTCGTGGTCGTGCCTTACGTAATTGTAGACCAGACACGAGGGCTCCACACCGAACACCTCCGTACAGATTCTCTGCATGCGCAGCCTTCTCAGGCAAGTATAGTGGTGCCGTCGTCTCAGACGGCATTGCCTACTTCATACCCAGCTCCGCAAGCAACGTAGGTACCGGTTTTGGAGAAGTCAGTCAGGCTTTTTCGGGATAAACGTGCATTGGGATTGGTTTTGCTCTGCATCCGTCTTGTTCATTCAAATTATGTTGCTCTTTGCCAATGTCGCGTTGCTTTTCTTAGTCTGGTTCCGGTCAGTCTGTTTGGCCAAGGGTGTCTATTCCTATTCTTATTCTGCCTTTGTGCAGTCCTATCTAATCTCGGCGTGGTTAGCAGTTCAATTCTATTACGAAGTCTTCTTGGGGGTTGTAGACGGGTCTAGCAAAACTCGCAGAATCCCAGGGATGTGCTTGGGGTTTACGGTTTAGCTTTCATGCACCTCAGTCCGTGCTGAAAAAAGGGTTAGCTTTCATGTGGCCGGGCGAGCACT